TTCCTTCAGATATTAATAACAACAAACTTGATTACTCCAAACCTTAAAGTCTGAAAATTGTTATCTTTTACAGTTTTCTAGAATTTGAAATAACAATATCGGGATGTATCAATCAATGTGGAAACGATATAAACAAGCTTGGTTAAAGCCTTAATGTTATCAATTGTATTAGAGATCTCGAAGAAACTTTTCAAAGTGGGACACTATTCCATATTCGTAGTATTTAATTTTTTCCAGTCGCTTTTGTATACTGGCGTGTGACGATGATAAATGGAAACATAGAATTTTGTTTGCGAACAACGCAAGTAAAATTGGGAATCAGGTTCCTGTGTGTGTGGACGATTGCGCGTATTTATAAGCAGCTTTGTGCAATTATATTGTGTCGAATCTAACTATTTTTCTTTACATTTGCCAATGCTGAGGATTTTATTATATATTTTAGTAAAATCAATGTCACTTTAGTGATTTCCTTACCTAGAAATTTGTGTAAACAAAAAATTATGTTTTCATAATAGATACATTTCTACAAGTTTATTCGGTCATTTTCACCATCTTCATCTAAACGCGCATGAACAAATGCTCTAGAGATCTAGATAATTCATAGATCCTGTTGTACTATATTAAATTAATATACTTTCAATACACATTCACATATAATTTACTATATACATGGTACTCGTCCGCAGTTACTATAGCGAATTTTAATAAATAGCCACATATGTCTTGTAATCTTATTTATTATAGGAAACAATTGGTGATTGATTAGATACTTTTTTTTTGAGCGTCTCAAATAAATTTGGAATTGTACAATGGGATTATCGATTTTACGTCCTTGCAAAATCGGACCTGAAACTCCTCACAATTTAATTACTCGAAACACTTGTTTCATGTAATTTTCCTTCAATTTCTTATTAATTCGTCGCAATTTAACGCGCTGTAATAATATATTTAATTTATAAGATAGTTTTTTGATTTTTATTAAAAAAATAGTTTACATATCAAAATTAAATTTTAAGTGCCAGAAGATTCTATTATTTCAATTTGTTTCAAGTAATTGTAAAAATTTAATAAATCAAATGATAAGGCATAAAATAAAAAAATGATAAATGAAATTAAAAGTGATAAAAAAATTGATATTTTGTTGCATTTATTAAATCGCACACGCGATCGATATTCGATGACTAATCAGAATCTTATAAAGTTGCAATTATTTGCAATTTGTAATCGATCTACGTAAAGATTCATAGTAAAGAGATTTACGAAACGTCGATTCATGAATCGCTTGTTATTTCGACTGTGACTGGCGGATTCAATCGTTTCGCATGAAAGAGAGAGTCATCGCGATTCTACCGAAGGAGGGGGCAGAGAAAAGTCCGCGGGGACGACCGCGAAATTAACGCTTGCTCCGTCCGATGGATAGCGACACCGTCGCTCGCGTTGCTTCGCGTTGTGCGATGCGGGTCGATGTTTTTAGCGACGTGCTTAGTGACGTGCGAGTAGTTCGAGTGAGAGAGGCAGAGAGGCAGCGAGCAAGGCAGTCAGCCAGCCGTCGGGATGCCGCAGAGGTTTCTGGGTATGCGGTGGGAGCCATATTTTTTCAATATCAGTTACGCGAAAAGAGCGTAGCGTACGGGGACGGGGCAGAGCATCTGGCGGGCACGGCATTCCGAACGGCGAACGGCGGTGCCGCGCGACGTTCGTGTCGGCCGGCGGTGAGTGATCGGGCGCGTTAAACGCAGGACGGCGAACGCAATCATACGAGGCGCGTAGTCGTCGCCGCGTCCGCGCCGCTACCATCGCTCTCGTCACGAAAAATCATAACCGCGCGATAGCGGGGAGGTGAGGTGAGGTGAGAGGTTCCCGTCACCCGTGAGAAACGGAGTAGCGCGCAGGTGTTTGAGAGGGTTAGTTAACTTAACCCGAGTTCGTAACCGCGCTCTCTCTCTCTCTCTCTTTCTCTCTCTCTCTCCCTCCCTCCCTCTCTCTCTCTCTCTCTCTCTCTCGCTCGCTCGTAGTACGACGATAGTAGTGCTGGTGGTGGTAGTCGTGGTAGTGGTGGTGGTGGTAGTAGCAGTAGTAGTAGTAGTAGTAGTAGTAGTAACATCAAAAGTAGTAGTGGTACGCGAGCCAGTGGGGAAATGATAGTGATGGTGGTGGTGGAAGAGTGCTGGTGGTGGTGGTCGTGATACTCGCTGCTGCTGCTGCTGCTGTGACGATGACACAGCGTCATAACACGACGTTCGTCCGTCCGTGCGCGATTTAACCCGAATCGTTACGCCAGCGGCATAAAAGTGTTTTTTGTACGGCGTGCGCGTTCGCGCCATATTACCGATCGAGCGCCGACTTGAGGCGACTTCAGCCGAGTCCGGCGCGATTAAACCCGCGTCGCGTACGCAGTCAGTGTCGAGGGAGATGGCACGCCGTTCGGCTGTGTTATCATCGTGAGTCTATGAGTCTCGCGCATTCGTCGGGATCGTTGTCGCGTGACCGTGCGAGGGTTTCCCCTCCCACCCTTTCCTTTCCCTTCCTCTCTTCTGCTGTCGTCGAAAGGCGTGATATATCCAAGCAGTGTGCCGTTTTGCGTAATGACATAATTGAGTGCGCGCGCGCGCGCGCATGTTCGCGTCTTTGCGTTCGTTCGTTCGGCGGCGGAGTGCATTATAACGCGATTCGATCGAGGACGGAGTAATGTGTTGTGGCTGTGAGTAAAGCGCGGACCGTTGACACCGGTGACGGAATCGCCGGGTGCCAGTTAACAAGTTCGAGAGAGACTCTCTCGGTAAGCGTAAAGCGAATAATTCGGCACGCTCCGAATTTCGAATTGTCCGTGGTGAATATAGTTGAATATAGCCGCGGCGCAGTTCGGAGAATCTTCGGCTTCGGCCCGTCGATTATACATTTATACGTTGCGTCCGCGGACCGCGTCGCTCCGACGGGGAGCGAAGTGGAGCGGAGCGGAGCAAACGGGTGGCGGCAACTACGGGCCGTCACCTTGAGTCGCGAGCGAGACCTTGTGTATGTGTGTGCGTGTGTATGTATGTGTGTGTTTGTGTGTGTGTGTGTGTGTGTGTGTATGGAGCGCGCGCGCGCGCGTACGTAAGGCTCTCTCTCTCTTTCTCTCTCGTCCGCTTGCTCCGAGACATAATTCCCCGCCGATAAACAAGCGACTCGCCTACGCGCGTTGGCCCGCCGGCTATGAGAGTTTCGAGTCAAGTTAGCAGCAGTCGCGACCTTGCTCGTCGTCGCTCGCCACTACCTCGTGCATGATCATGCTACGTAACGATTCGCCCGCGTGGCAAAAGGAATTGACGTGAAACGTCACCGCGAAAGCAAGACTTGCAGGGAAGAGAAAGAGAGAGAGAGAGAGAGAGAGAGAGAGAGGGAGGGAGAGAGAGAGAGAGAGAGTGAGAGAGAGAAAGTGGCAAAGGAACGTCAGCCGGCTCTCGGAGGCACCCGATGGTGCGGCGTTTCGAATTCCGATCGTGTTCGCGTACGACGCGTGTCGCGAACTGCGACATTTTGATGAGCGTCCGTCTATCCTCAGGAAAGGAGCCTGAGAGGAGAAGAAGGAGAAGAAAGGTGAGCCAACTGCGGAAGGGAAAATACATCGTCGGCGCGTCCCGCGCCATGCCCGGCGATCCCCGCTGCGTCAAGGAGGTTAGACGGCCATTGACCGGCACCGGCACCGGCACCGGCACCGGCGGCGAGCAGCGACAACGTGTACTACGCGCGCTAAACACGCACCGATTACAACAAGTACGACGTGGGACGTAGGAGAATCGAACGATTCTCGTCTTCCCGTTTTTCCACGTAGGAAGGAACATCCTTATGTCCGGGGGAGTAAGAGATTCCATTTTCGTCGCGCGATCGACGTAATATTATGTCGTGCTACGTGTTACGCTTCTACGCGGAGAGACGCAACGGTACGTGCAGCAGGAACATCGGCGAGAGTGCGAGCACCCTTCTGCGTGGACCTGCAGAAGGTTCATCGTCATTGTTGAGCGCGTGAGAAATCGTGAGCCGGCTCACGGAGGATGCGGCAGTATCCGCCGCCAGTATCTTCACGTAGACGAGCTACGTGCCACGTCGTGCCAGTGATGTCGTGGGTGTCGTCAGGGTCATCCGCCGCGCTGCTGGACCTGGACCTGGACCATGGCCGGCAAGCCTGAGCAGCCGTCCACGCTCCCTGCTCCCCCGAGTCACGGCCATCAGCATCAACAGGCGCAACAGCAGCAGCAGCAGCAGCAGCAGCAGCAGCAGCAGCAGCAGCAGCAGCAGCAGCAGCAGCAGCAGCAACAACAACAACA